TTGTGATGGTGTATAAACTCATAGACAAGTCCAGCTGATTCAGTGGCACTACTCTAGTTGATAATATCAATAGAGCTTAGATAAGGGGTTCTCAAACTAAGGCCTGTGTGTGTGTGTGTGTGACACAAACAGGATTCCAGATGACAGGTTAAAGAAGATAAGCACATTCAGTTTGTAATCCAGTATAAAATTTCTATTGATGCCACTGAAAACATTGCAGGCCTCCTGTCTATCTCTTGGGTCCTGCAATAGTGTATTTTGATCTAGCATGGAACCATTCCAACAACATTTAGATGCCAAGGTGTATTGGGAAGATTCTTTTGTGGAATGGGTGGAAGACAAATAAATAGCCCCTTGTACTTTAATGGATAACACAGTATGGCGCCACCAAAGAGTCTCAGCAAGAACACCTCCCTCCCCCACTTCAGTGGTGGATAGTATTTCCACTTTGCATATTTTTGTGATGGCTAAACAGAAGGCTTGCACTGGCAACATTTAATATCAGCCTCAAATTACACTTACAATAAGCACAGGAAGGCAAAAGTGTTTGATGGGAAAATAATTGAATCAAGTTGCCAAATTTCTCTTCACCTTTGACTTTTCTTTTTTTCCTGGCAGAAGACCTTGGCTCTGAAAATTCAGATTCCATCTACAGCACAGCCCCGGAAGTTAAGGCTTGAATGTCCCAGCTGTTAATGACAACACATGGACACTCTGAGAACTGAATCAAGAAAGCAGCAGTATATGCAGCAACCTCCTGGGCTGCACACTGTACCAGGGGGCAAGGAATGGCAGTACCTGATGAGAATGCTTTGGAACTGATTGTCTGCCAAGGAAGCTGAGAGTATTGAATGAGACGAGCAGTAACGGTTTTTGCGGTCATCTAGCACCACTGCCTGTATGTCTGAATGTAACCTGAGGTCCAGTTTCTCCAACTTTGATTTATTCATTGTTGTGTTTATTACCGAGGAGAAATCTATTGGCTTCTAACAGAGTCTCTCTGAAAGTGGGATAAGTTGGCAAAAGATGGGGTTATGTGGCAAAACAACTGACTTGAGGTTTTTTTTCTTTTGTTGTACATTGCTTCTGAATATCTTTTTCCCACCATTTAAATAAAACACCTCTCTAGGGAATCTCATCAGATGTACAAGCTAACCTAAAAGTATTGGGGCACTTGGGATTTTAATAAACAAAGAGGGCTAAAACTTTGTGGCAGTTTTGTACCTGAGATGGTTGAATAACATGCTGTTTGCGTCCAAAAGTCTTTCTGGAATAGCATGCCTAGCCTGCACGTGTTATAGCTGCTGCATTTACTACATGCATTTGGTGGAATTGTTCATATAATTTCAGGTTTGGAAATATGTCAAAACGGAGTTGATGTTTTCTTCAATTTCTCAGGGCCCTTCCACACAGCCCTATATCCCAGAATATCAAGACGGAAAATCCCACATTATCTGAGTGTGAACTCAGATAACCCAGTTCAAAGCAGATAATGTGGGATTTTCTGCCTTGATATTCTGAGATATAGAGCCCTTAGTTTCTCAAAAAAGTTATCAGCCATCCTTTTTCCTTTCAAAAACTCAAAATGTTATTTTGTCCACATCAGATTATTCTGATTATACTGTTTATAAGCTTAAAGCATCACCTATATTAAAAAAGAATAAATACCAAGGGAGCTATAAGTATTCATGAGAGTAGCATTGGTCTGATATATCCTATGCTGTTGTTGAAGGCTTTCATGTCCAGAATCACTGGGTTACTGTGAGTTTTCAGAGCCGTATGACCATGTTCCAGAAGCACTCTCTCCTGACGTTTTGCTCACATCTATGGCAGGCATCCTCAGAGGTCTGTTGGAAACTAGACAAGTGGGGTTTATATATCTTTGGAATGTCCAGGGTGGAAGAAAGAATTTTTGTCTGTTTGAGGCAAGTGTGAATGTTGCAATTTGGCTGCCTTTATTAGCATTGAATACCCTTGCAGCTTCAAAGCCTGGTTGTTTCCTTCCTGGGGGAATCTTTTGTTGGAGCTGCAATCCTATTCAGTGCTAATCAAGGTGGCCAATTGTAACATTCACACCCACCTGAAACCGACAAGAGTTCTTTGTCCCACCTTGAACATTCCACAGATATATAAGCCTCACTTGCCTAGTTTCCAAAACACCTCAACTTCTGAGGATGCCTGCCATAGTTGTGGGCGAAACATCAGGAGAGAATGCTTCTGGAACATGGCCATACAATCCCGAAAACTCACAGCAACCCATATCCAATGTTGTTGGGTTGGAATTATCCTAGAACCTCAGTTTGATCCTGAACTTAAATCTTACTTTAAACTGATATCATTTTGGTATATTTGAAGAATTGCCTCCTGTTTAGGAATGCTTCAATTACAAAATGAGCATAAAATTAGGGCCTCATTAGTGGTTTGAATGAATAAAGTTGCACAAACAGGTAACTCACAATTCATAAGGTAGTGATCTTGATGGAAAATGTGTATATTTGGGGTTTTTTTGGTTGTGTTCATGTGAAGTGTTGAAATACCCCATGCTTAAAACAGCAAAATCAGCCATGAGCGGCATTGTATGATTCAATCTGTGTATTTTGTGTCTGTAGTGGGGATGATAGTCAGGTTAAAGAACTACCTGAGAGTCTAGGGAACCCAGATACAGACACATAAAATAGGTGTTTTTCCAGTTCCTTCTACAATTGGATAGGTAAAGTGACATAGGTTTCACCTGACACTATGTCTAGTCGTGTCCGGGTGGTGCTCATCTCCATTTCAAAGCCGAAGAGCTGGTGTTGTCTGTAGACAACTTCAAGATCATGTGCCTAACATGACTGCATGGAGCGCTGTTACCATCCTGCAAAAGCGGTACCTATTGATCTACTCACACTTGCACGTTTACAAACTGCTAGGTTGGCATAATCTGGGGCTAACAGCGGGAGCTCATCCCACTCCCTGAATTCAAACTGCCAACTTTTTGATCAGCCAGTTCAGCAACTCGGTGGTTTAACCTACTGCGCCACCAGGGTAAATACAATGGTAAATATGTGATTAAATGCGTAATTTGCATGCATGGCTATCTTGTTAGCTCATTCAGCTGTCAGAGACTGCCTGCCAGCACTGCCGTTCTGATAGGGGAGCTGAACTCAGGATGGATGTTTATGCAGCATGTGGATCATACTAGAGGTTTGTGAAGCCTGGAGCTAGGCATGAACATGTGACAAAACTCGAGCAGAAAGCCGCATTCATGGTAACTTTCCATAAGAGAAAAGGAAGCTTAGGTTTTTATCTCATGTTTTTAAACCTGCAAATTTCTGACTGAGAACTGCCATTTTTGGACACATCTGGGAAGGAAATAAATCTGTGATAGGTAACAAATACATCTAAGCATAACCTTTGGTCCACCCAATATATGTCACTCGGACTGAAAGATAATGTGGTGCAGCAGACTACTTGATTAGAAGATCATGGCTGAACCACATGATATCCCCTCAAGGGCCATTCAGTCCAACCCCATTCTGCCAAAAAGCAGAAAAATCACATTCAAAGCATCCCTGACAGATGTTCATCAGCCTTGTTTAAAAGCCCCCCAAAGAAGGAGCCTCCACCACACTATGGGGCAGAGTTCCACTGCTGAATGGCTCTCACAGTTAGGAAGTTCTTCCTTATGTTCAGGCGGAATCTCCTTTCCTGCAATTTGAAGCCATGTTCCACGTCCTAGTCTCAGGGGCAGCAGAAAACAAGCATGCTCCCTCCAACTCTATGACTTCTCACATATTTATACATAGTCATCGTCGTATCCTCTCAGCCTTCTCTTCTGCAGGCTAAACATGCCCAGCTCTTTAAACCGCTCCTCATAGGGCTTGTTCTCCAGACCCTTGATCATTTTAGTCGCCCTCCTCTGGGCACTAAACAATGGCTTCAAACTACAAGAAAGGAGATTCCATCTGAACATTAGGAAGAACTTCCTGACTGAGCTGTTCAGCAGTGGAACTCTCTGCCCCGGAGTGTGGTAGAGGCTCCTTCTTTGGAAGCTTTTAAACAGAGGCTGGATGGGTTGTTGTAGGTTTTTCGGGCTACATGGCCATGTTCTAGAGCAGTGATTCTCAATCTGGGGTCCCCGGATGTTTTTGGCCTTCAACTCCCAGAAATCCTAACAGCTGGTAAACTGGCTGGGATTTCTGGGAGTTATAGGCCAAAAACATCTGGGGACCCCAGGTTGAGAACCACTGTAATCTACAGGCATTTTCTCCTGATGTTTCGCCTGCATCTATGGCAAGCATCCTCAGAGGTAGTGAGGTCAGTTGGAACTAGGAAAATGGGTTTATATATGTGGAATGACCAAGGTGGCGCAGTGGGTTAAACCCCTGTGCCGGCAGGACTGAAGACTGACAGGTTGCAGGTTCGAATCTGGGGAGAGGCGGATGAGCTCCCTCTATCAGCTCCAGCTCCTCATGCGGGGACATGAGAGAAGCCTCCCACAAGGATGATAAAAACATCAAATCATCCAGGCAACGTCCTTGCAGACGGCCAATTCTCTCACACCAGAAGCGACTTGCAGTTTCTCAGGTTGCTCCTGGCATGACAAAAAAAAAAAAAACCAGGGTGTCTGTTGGAGCAGAGTCTGGATGACCATCTGTCGGGTGTGCTTTGAATGCAATTTTCCTGCTTCTTGGGAGGGGGTTGGACTGGATGTCCCATGAGGTCTCTTCCAATTCTATGATTCTGTGATTAACACTGACCAAGAACAACAAGAAATACTGTTTACCCATAAGCATAAAGACATTACATTTAATACAAACCAACACTTTCTCATTATTTTCCAAATCACCAGACTGAGCCACAGCAACGCGTGGCAGGGGATGGCTAGGAGAGTATATTGAGAAAAAGCCTTTTTCCTGTTTAAGAGTGTAATATGTAACATCTGCAAGTGTAATATGTAAAAGTCTTTGGTGAAGACCTGAATGGCTCAGAGTGTTCCTGACGCTGGCAGGAAGGGGAGGAGGAAGAGGAGGGAAAGGGGTGTAGGCAGCCAGGAAGCAGGAAAGAGAAGCGCCGCCTCTTGCAAGGATGGAGCCCAGGAGGAGGAACCCGGGCACGGACTTGGGTAAGGGGAGCCTGGGCCAGGATGGGAGCTGGGCTGGAATTGCAGCCAAGGAGGGCTGGGCAGAGAAGAAAGGGTCCAAGCGGCCCTTGGTGTGTCTGCTGGGGTTGGATGCTCCAGTCCTGCTATACCAGGCATGGGCAAACTTGGGCCCTCCAGGTGTTTTGGAGTTGCAACCCCCACAACAATTTGGTGCTGAGATGGGGGTCCTCTCAACCTTGGAACTCAACTGGATGATCTGAAGCAAGTCACACTGTCTCAGCCTCAGAAGAAGGCAAAGGCAAGCAGCCTCTGAATACATCTTGTTAAGAAATCCCCACGACAGGTTCAACTCCAGGTTGCTGTAAGTCAGAAACAACTTGAACACACACAGAGTTAAAAACAGAACTTAAAAGATCATGTAAACCCAATGCATACAAAATACAATGGAAAAATATATGAGGGTTATCCAGAAAGTAAAGTTATAAGATTTTTAAAAAATATAAAGAATGAATATATTTTAGTAAAACTTATATGGATTATAGTATAGGTATTACATTATTTTTCCGCATTACTTACTTAGGCAATCCCTCGTTGGCCGAGTATGATAGTTTTCCAGGAGCAGTATTCTGGTGGGTCCGTAGGTGACTGTGGAGCCCTATTCTTGATCTGTATCATCTCCCGCAGTGAAGGCATTGGTTTCCAGGTGGAAGGCGGTCTTGGTCGGAGTTGGCTTGATGTGACTTCCTCTTGGCACATTTTTTTCTTTTGCCCTCCATTTGTGCCTCTTCAAATTCTACAGCACTGCTGGTCACAGCTGACTTCCAGCTGGAGCGCTCAAGGGCCAGGGCTTCCCAGTTCTCCGTGTCTATGCCAGAGTTTTTAAGGTTGGCTTTGAGCCCATCTTTAAATCTCTTTTCCTGCCCACCAACATTCCATTTTCCGTTCTTGAGTTCGGAGTAGAGCAACTGCTTTGGGAGACGGTGGTCGGGCATCCGGACAATGTGGCCGGTCCAGCGGAGTTGATGGCGGAGGACCATCGCTTCAATGCTGGTGGTCTTTGCTTCTTCCACATAATCACCATTCGGTTCAATACATTTTGTCATCCATGGGACAGGTTTTTGATGCCTGTGTCATATAAGTTTCCCCCCACCTTTTTCAGCCAGTTTATCACTTTGATTTTCACCTCGTCATCATCAGAAAAATGTTTTCCACCAAGGTGTTCCTTCAATTTAGTGAACAGATGATAGTCACTGGGTGTGAGATCGGGGCTGTGAGTGGATGGCTTAAAATATCCCAACCAAAGTCAGCATCTCTTAGAAGTCAGCAACTCTTGTGTTGCATGAACGGTGTGTGGACGCACATTGTCATGAAGGAGACAGATTCCTGCCATCAGCATCCCACAACGTTTGTTTTGAATGGCTCTGCAAAGTTTCTTCATAGTCTCACAATATATTCCATACCCATTATGTCACATGTTGTCTTGACATTATGTCCTCTCCATAAACTGAAATGATATTGCGATGAATCGCAGTGGTGTTCATGCCCTTAGCATGTAGGTAGCGTATTACAGTGCGAACTTTGCACTTGGAAGGAAACTGAGTGAGGATGCCCATCTCTAACCTACACCACAATGCCAGTTGATGAGCTACTGACGACTGGCACTGCTCGTTCACTTCTGCTGACTTCCTGCCTCAATTTCCCCCAAGAAAATTCCCCATGAGAGCTACGTGTCTTGTAACCTTACTTTCTGGATAACCTTTGTAATATTATGGCCAAAATCTTCTATGTTACAGAACTTTATGCATGCTTAGCCATGTGACAGAGATGCTAAGAAACCTGGAAATGACTTGTGAAGATGCATAACTCTGGAATCCTTTGCCTTTGGTCAACTTAGTAGTTAGTGCAAATGGGGAAAGCTGGTCTATTTCCTCTTATTTGCAAAGAGTTTGAAGTTCAGTCAGCTCTCACTATTCATGGATTTGACCTTTGCAGAGTTGATTAGTCATGGATTTGATTAAAATGTGCTCCCTAGGAATCGCTCGGTCCTATATAAATAAAGTGACTGATTGATTGAAATTTCATACTAAAACCCAGAGTGGATTCACCAGCAAACTGGCATGGAAGCTATTATATAGAGCAGCATTTCTCAACCTGGGAGTCGCAACCCCTGGCTGGAGGGGTCATGAGGGGGGCTCAGAGGAGTCACCAAATACCATCAGAACACACAGTATTTTCTGTTGGGTATGGGGATTCTGTGTGGGAAGTTTGGCCCAATTCTATCATTGGTGGGATTCAGAATGCTCTTTGAGTATAAGTGAACTATAAATCCCTACAAACACAACTCCCAAATGTCAAAGTCTGTTTTCCCCAAACTCCACCAGTGTTCACATTTGGGCATATTGAGTATTTGTGCCAAGTTTGGTCCAGATCCATCATTGTTTGGGTCCATGGTGCTCTCTGGATGTAGGTGAACTACTACTCCAAAACTCAAGGTGAAGGCCCACTAAACTCTTCCAGTATTTTCTCTTGGTCATGGGAGTTCTGTGTGCCAAGTTTGGTTCAATTCCATCGTTGGTGGAGTCCAGAATGCTCTTTGATTGTAGGGGAACTATAAATCCCAGCAACTGCAACTCCCAAATGACAAAATCAGTCGTCCTCCCCCCCCCCCTCCCCAACCCCACCATATTCAAATTTGGGCATATCGGGTATTTGTGCCAAATTTGGTCCAGTGAATGAGGATACATCCTGCATATCAGATATTTACATTATGATTCATAACAGTAGCAAAATTATAGTTACGAAGTCGCAATGAAAATAATGTTATGATTGGGGGTCACCACAACATGAGGAACTGTATTAAGGAGTCGCGGCATTAAGAAGGTTGAGAACCACTGATATAGAGACTTGAGCAACCCTCCTCAAAATTGTATTATTTGCATGCCTTTGTCTTTGGAATAACACCAAGTAAACTATTGTGGTCTAAGGCATAAGGGGTAAAATAGTGCATAATAATAATAATAATAATAATAATAATAATAATAATAATAATTGTCGAAGGCTTTCACTTCCAACAGACCTCACTACCTCTGAGGATGCTTGCCATAGATGCAGGCAAAACGTCAGGAGAAAATGCCTCTAGAACATGGCCATATAGCCCGGAAAAGCCTACAACAACGCAATAATAATAATAATAATAATAATAATAATAATAATAATAATAATAATGACAACAACATTAAGAATTGCTGTCCATGAAACCTCCAAATGCAGTTTTGAACAATATTCCTTCTCTCTTTTTTTAAAGACTTGTCTTTAGAGGGAGAAAAACACATTTTTTTCCAAGGGATGATTAAAGAAAGTTGACTAATTAGCTGTAGTTTTAACGGCGTTAATTACTTTCATCCCTGAAGCCCCATGAATATTTAGACGGAACAGATGACATATATTAAAAACAGAAGTATTCACACTCCAAGCTGACTGAATTTACATGTTGTTTTCCTTGGCAGGCACTCGGGATGATTCACACATGTTCTCCCCCCATATTCTCTTTTGTGACCTGTTTATGTCGAGAAAGTGGTACATCCATATTTCCCCCCTGTGTGGAAGCCATCCGTGAAGGAGTTCTCAAGTTATGGAGCCATCCAAAATATCTGGAAGGCACAATGAAAGCATGGATTTCATTTTAACTACCATGTCTGCATCAGACGAGAAACCAGGGATTCGTAGGTTGTGAGGGCATGAGAGCAGAGCTTCCTAAACATGTTGGTGACATGGCTTTTTAGACATGTATGTTTTTGTGAAATGGTAATTCAGTTTTACTAGTAAAGTGGTTGTTCTTTCTTTCACATGTTAAACTTCCATTAACTATATAAGCCATGTTGAGTTTTAAAGTGGAGGACAAAGCATAAACTTTTATCCTTTCCTGAAGTGCCATCCTCTGGGATGTGCTTAGATTTCAAACCCTATCACTCTTAGCCATCATTTTGATGGGAAATGCAGTCCTACTGTATTCCGTCATTATAAAAGATAATTGAAACAAAAATGGGATAGTTCTCGATGATTAGGTTTATTCCTGAAATACACCAAATTTTGATATTTCTTATTGGAAAAATAAAATTTAACTCTTAATTTTTTTATTCAAATATAAAAACAAAGGAAAACGTATTTATAAAACACAACAACAACACAGTACAAAATTAAGAGTACAAAAAAACAAAAAAAAAAAAACAAAGCAAAAACCACTACCAGCAAAAAGAAAAGCAATTTTCATTATTTACCTTGAAAAGTCAGACTTGACCATGGTGGTCCATGCTGTTGTTACATCCCCGAATAGAATACTTCAATGCACTCTACGTGGGGTTGCCTTTGAGGACTATTTGGAAGCTTCAAGTAGTCCAACAGGCACACACAGGTTTCTAACTGGAGCAACACAGGGAGCATACAGCTCCCGTACTGAGCCAGCTCTGCTGGCTGCTGGTTTGCTACCGAGCACAATTCAAAGTGCTGGCTTTGGCCTATAAATCCTTAAATGGTTCCTGTCCAGCTTACCTATCCAAATGTATCTCTCTTTATGTGCAAGTTAAAGCTTTAAGATTAGCTGAGGAGGCCCTGCTCTCAGTCCCATCACCCTTGCAGGCGCGACTGGTGGGGACGAGAGACAGAGCCTTCTTGGTGGTGGCCCCTTTGCTGTGGAACTCCCTCCCCAGCGAAATCCTATCAGCTCCCTTCCACCTGACGTTTAGGAAACTACTCAAAATGTGCCTTTTCAAGCAAGCATTCGGGGAGTGAGATGGAGTAGTTAAGATATCTTTGAGACAGGTGTAATGTCGAATGGCTTATGTTTTATGTTTGTTTATGTCAGATGTTTTATAGTTTATTGGCTTTAATCTACTGTTATATGTTATTTTAGTTATGTAAGACATTTTATATTGTAGGGCATTGAATTTTGCCAATTACGTTGTTGTGAACTTCTTTGACTCCCCCCAGGAGTTGAGAAAAGTGGTATATAACTGAAACAAACAAACAAACAAATATACATTGTCGAAGGCTTTCATGGCCGGAATCACTGGGTTGTTGTAGGTTTGTAGAACATGGCCATACAGCAACCCAAATAAATATACAGAAGCAACTAAAACAGCTTTATCTAAAACATAACACCCCAAAACATTCTAAACAAACACCCACTAAAGTAATCTACAAACCTTCTGCTCATTGCCTGTTGATTTTAACTTCTTGTTTGTTACTCCCTTTAAGTATCACTTTATTTCTTTGTTTTCTGTTTGTTTGTTCATTTGTTAAAAAATGCAATACAACTGTTTGGTTGCTCCTGACATGATAAATAAACTTTATTTCTACTCTTCTACTTTTAATAAAATTGAAACTCTGAATTAATTCACTTCTATCACTCACAGCCATGCCAGGCTCTCCAAGCACTGCACCGTGAAAATGGTTACCCTCATTTTAATATTTTTTGGTCAGCTGAATATCAACAAAATTTCACTCTTTTGAGTCAGAGAAGAGTCTGCCTAAAAACAGTCCTTTAAATACTGGAACTTTTTTGGTTGTTCTTCCTAGACCACAGCTGGCTCGCACGGGTCCGTGTCAACCAGCCTGCAGTTCTGAGACGGGCAGCCCAAATTCAGGCCCAACGTGCTGTGAAAAAGAACTGGCAGGTAAGTGTTCCGTCCATGCTTTGAGTCTTCCCTTCTTGACCTTCTGAAACAAGCATTTATATCTCCTTGTTTTTCAGTATTAAGTTTCTTTTCCTGATGTCTGTAAGCTTAAAAGCTCCAACTGACCTGTGGTGTCCTCCAAAATTAATAATTAAAAGGCAGTGATAGGCTGATCAAAGATCACTTCTTTATATACACAAGTATCAGGATGGGTGAGTGGGTCAGAAAAAACCCCAGAAGGCTGTTGCAACCAGTCATTTGGCAAATATATTCATAGCCCTCTCTTTTTTCTGTTTTTGGGTATTTATTTTTTGTAACTCTGCTGGCGAAGTGATTCTGAAAGTTGCCATCCCAAAAAGAAACTTTTCTAGCAGTGGAGTAGATTGACATTATGCTTCTAAATGGCATGTACTTTGTTGAGTGTTGGCTTTGGAGTACAATATGAATCTCATATCAATTCCTCGACAAACCACTGTTCCTCATTGAGGACTGCAGACGTGAGCACTGTGGGGTTGAATTCCAACAATAGTTGTGTACAGAAAGCTCCTGCTTATCTGATGGGTTAGAGACGGGACCACTGTCAGAAAATAGAATGGGTTGAAAAGTGAAATCCAGTTTTTTCAACTTTCAAATGTAAATATTGTCAGGAATTTCTATTATCTTAACGGAGTCCTGGAAATTGTAAAGTCCAAGCTCCCCTGTGTAGTTGTGGTAGGAAAATCTCTGCTGGAATACACAACACCACACACCCTACAGATGGCTGCTAAACTGCAGCTAGGCCTTAATTCACCATCCAAGATTACTAGAGTATTAAACAAACTGTGACAAAACTAAACACTAGATGGTAGCAAGTCTACCAAGATGGGAAAATAACTGTGCCGAATAAGCAACAGCTGTGGTCAAAGAGGACAAATAGGGTTCAAAGTACAGAACAAGGCTATAGTTTAGATTTGTCAAAACAATTGAATATAAAAAAATGAATAAATGAAAAGCAGGGAATGCGTGTAGTGTGAAAGAGTCTCCGACATTTAAAGACCATACCTAAGTGGTAGAGCACATGCCTTACGTGTAAAAGGAACCTAATTCAATTCCTGTCATTTTTAGGTAAGAGTGGGTAAGATCTCCACCGGAAATCCTGATTTAATAATGATTCTTCAGTGTTTACAGGACAAAACCATAGATGTATAAACTTGGCATAGACTACTTCTTAAATTCCTAATTTTGGCCAGGGATGCAAGCAAGTACATGGCAAGAATTTTTTTTCTTGCTAACTCTTCTCTCTTTACTTTATATAAAGGCAGCTTGGCTTCTGCGGGCCGTCACCTGCATCGACCTGACCACCCTTTCGGGGGACGACACTCCTTCTAATGTCTGCAGGTTGTGTTACAAAGCCAAGCATCCCATCAGAGAGGATCTGTTGCAAGCTGTGAACATGCATGATAAAGGTATGGCAAATTATGAGGAGTAACGAAACTAATTTGACTGAATGAAGGTAAATTTGGCAGCAGTGATAACTGTGCATGTGTTTTCATTTCATTTCTTTTCTTTTTAACTTGGCCTTTGTTGAGTTTTATTTTGCTGAATAAATTGCTCACTCAAAAAGGCAGCAATGTTTAGTAAGATAGAAGTCAGTCAGAAAAGATGAAGACCACTTCCCGGATGGATAAATAATAATAATAATAATAATAATAATAATAATAATAATAACAACACTTTATTTATATTCCACCTTATCTCCCCAAGGGGACTCAGGGCGGATCTCAGTACACATATACGGCAAACATTCAGTGCCATTTTGGATAGACAATACAGAGACAGACAAAACAGAAAGGAGGTACATTGTGACGACGTCTAGCTTTTTGGCACCTTGGAAGGTTGTGCTTGAATGCAGCCACGGGGGGGGGGGGGGGGGGAGCTCTTGCTTCATCCTCTATGACAAAGAGACATCCAGACTTCCTCCTTCCTTTTGGTTGCTAGGCATTTTCTGATCTTTTTCTTTATGGTGTCATAAAATACCTTAATAATAAACTTTATTTATACCCCGCCACCATCTCCCCAACGGGGACTCGGGTTGGCTTACATGAGGCCAAGCCCAGACAACATATTACAGCAAAATAAACCCAAAAACATAAGCAACAAGCAACAACATCATAATTACATAAAAACAATGGAATACAATAACAATATAACATTACAGTAAACACAATCACAGTGACAGTGGGCGGGCCACATGTACAGGATAAAATGTTTAAAAAACTTGAATGAGATAAGAAGAGGAGCAAGTTATTTACAAGAGGGCGTTCATAAAAAACACAGGGTTGTGGAACCAAACTTTCCCATTGGAGGGAGGGGCATATACTCCAGTGACAGAAGCGTTGAGGAGAGCAGTAGTGTCATGTTGTGCACCTACTCACCAAAATACCCCCTTGCTTGTTTTAGCGGTGCCTAATTTCTTTAATTACTGCGCAAGCTGTTTTCAAACTGCTTAGGTCAAGAATAAGCTGGGCAGCTCAAGAATAAGTCGGCAGCTCGCGCCAAACTGGGGCTTTGAACTGGCAACCTTTCGGTTGGTAGATCTTATCATTGCTGGCGATTTACCAGCTGTGCTAAAGCCCAGCCTTCAAGGAAGCCATAGCCCTGAGTTTACAAGACCTTAGCAGGGCTGCTGAGTATAGGAAATGGACTTGACTGCAGTTGGACATTAGAAATAGCTTCTTGACAGTAAGAGCAGTTCAGCCATGGAGCTAATTTTTAAATTTTGTATGCTGTTGGATTGACTTTTGCTCTTGTTGTAAACCGCGTTGAGTCGCCTACAAGGCTGAGAAATTGCGGTATACAAGCAAAGTAAATAAATAAATAAATAAATAAATAAAATAACTGCCTAGAAAAAGGTTGTGGAGTCTCCTTCTCTGGATGTCATCAAAAAGAGACTGGATGTGCTGGGGATGTTGTATCTTTAGTTCTTGCATGTAGCAGAGAGTTGGACTTGGTGGCTCAAAGGGCCTCTTTCCAGCTCTTTAAGTCTACAAGCAATACATATTGAGGTTCTCTCTTCTATTAAAAATATGGGAGTTCTCCTCTGTTTTCACTCTAGCAACATTGCTAGTGGTGCTCCCTATAATTGACAAACTATTAATTTGAACCAACAACAGATAATTTTCTTCTAGGGCAGGGTGGATAGGAGGGACCTGTGCCAGCAAGGGTCCCCTGTTCGTTTGTTTTTTGTTTTGTTTTGTTTTGTTTTTTGCCAGAGTAAAGCAGTAGTTTCGGCAAATTCCCTCACTACCAGTCATTCCAGTTTCAGGAGATGACTTTTTCCAGCAGAAAGTTACATAGAAGTCAGTGCATCATTTCTTCTTGGAAAAATGGTTWAGAGAAGGACACAAAATTGCCTTCCCAAGACACATGGGTGCATTTAGATCCAATTAAAATAGTCAGGTGGGTGAGGCCCCTCTGATTTTCCAATGGCAACAATTCAGCCCKCCCCCCCCCCCCAAAAAAAAAAAAAGATTGCCTACACATATAGTGCAGAGGCCTCACATTTCCTAATAGTAAGGTTGTCTTTGAACATCAGTTCAAAAAACAAGTTTTAGCCATGGTACTGTATTCTGGACAAGAGGCTACACAGGAGAATAGGTCAGTAGCTGTGATACTCAACTGTGATTTTTTTGCAGGCATCACAACAGCTGCTGTCTGTGTCTATCCAGGAAGAGTAGCTGATGCAGTAAAGGCTCTCAAGGCGGCTGGATGTAACATCCCAGTAGCTTCAGGTAAGTTTTCTGAACTTGTCTTCTGAAAGTCCAAATCTGTTTCTGTGGCTGATGACGTTTCTAGAGCTGGTGGACCAGACCACACATAGTGTGTTGCATCTTAGTTCTGAACAAACTCAAAAGCATGTAGAATTTGTGTCTGTAATAAATTGATCCAAGTTAGGCAGATGTATACTTTTACTTATTTTAAAATTCAAGAATACCTTCATAACTTCAGAACACATATCTGTGTTTTCAATTATCCATACTCAGGGAAAACAGTTCCCATTCTTAAGATTTCACTAAGAATTGATTAATCCTCCTTACTACTTTCTTAATTAGATAATTTATTTATTGATGTCCTAAATCAAAAAGTCTAGAAGACAGGATATAAAATATACATATTTTAATTTTTTTTTCTGTGTCAGGAGCGACTTGAGAAACTGCAAGTTTCTTCTGGTGTGAGAGAATTGGCCATCTGAAAGGACGTTGCCTGGGGGACTCCAGAATGTTTTATCATCCTATGGGAGGCCGCTCTCATATTCCCACATGAGAAACTGGAGCTGACATACAGGAGCTCACCCTGTTCCCCAGATTCAAACCACCAACCTTCCGGTCAGCAGTCCTGCTGGCACAAGGGTTTAATCTATTTCACCTACCTATTTTATATCTATGTGTGTGCGTAAAGTTCATTTTCCTGATTAAATCTTTTAGGTTTCTTTTTTAAAAAAATGGGCATGTGGTTGGACTACAGTAGTTGGAATATCAGTAAAACTCAGTGCCCATTCTCCAATGGAGTTGCTTTTTTATTTGTTATTTATTTATTTACTCTATTTATATACTGCTTTTCTCAGCCCTCAGGCAACTCAAAGCGGTTAGATCTATGGTCTTACTTTCTCTACCCAAAATAGGACTTGATGGGCTTTTTCTACATCGATTTTCTATCTTTTACTTCCTCCTTAGTGGCTACTGGATTCCCAGCGGGACAGACAGTCCTGAAAACTCGGTTGGAGGAGGTTCGGCTGGCTGTGGAAGATGGTGCCAAAGAGATTGACATTGTCATTAACCGAACTTTAGTACTGACGGGCCAATGGGAAGGTGAGTGTGGCTCAAACCCTAGAAGAAATGGTTTGGCATATACCCATCCTTCTTGTTTGACTATTGATATGCAAAGCTGTATCAATAGCTTTGCATATCAATACCAGCTGTGGGAGTTGAAGTCCAGATCACCTGGAGGGTCAAAGTTTGACCATGCTTGGTATAACCCCTGTTATAACCCCTGTGTCCATGGGGAATACATTCTGAGATGTCCCCTGTGGATACCTGAAACTGTAGATAATAGCACCTCTGCTTTAAAATGGTTGAACAGAAGCTCTGAAGCTTTATGTGCTCTTACTGCCTAAATCAAAATCAGCTGATTCCTAATCCATCCAAAACACAGGCATGTGCTTTTCATCTTAAGAACCAACAAGCATCTCAAGCTCTGCGAATGACCTGGAAAGGACTCCCACTGGAGCATTGCAGCACAGCAAAATACCTGGGAGTTACTCTGGACCTTGCTTTGACTTACAATAAGCACTGCTTGAATATCAAGCAAAAGGTAGGCACTAAAAATAATATCATATGAAAGCTGACTGGCACAACCTGGGGATCACAACCATATTCATTGAAAACATCTGCGCTTGCACTTTGTCACTCTGCTGCTAAATACGGATGCCCAGCGTGGAACACATTTCACCACATTAAAACAGTGAATGTGGCTTTTTATCAGACATATCGCATTATCACAGGATGTCTGTGTCCAACACCACTGGCGAAATTATACATTTTAGCCGGTATTGCACCACCTGACATCCACCAGGAAGTAATAATAATAATATAATCATAAACTTTATTTATACCCCACCACCATCTCCCCAATGGGGACTTGGGGCGGCTTAGTAAGTGCTAGCCAATAACGAAAAGACCAAGGCAGTGACATCTCTAACCCATCTCTCTTTGGATATCAGTCAGCATGCCAAAGTCTTAAATCAAGAAACAACTTTCTAAGATCTACAGAGATACTCGCAAGAACACCTCAGCAAGCGAGAGTCCAAAAGTGGCAGGCTTAATCAGTGGCTGAGACCGGATGAGAAACCTGGGCACACAGAAGACTGAGTGACTTGAAAGGAATTGAACAGACTGCGCTTTGGCACCACGAGATGCAGAGCCAATATTAAGAAATGGGACTACATAGTGGAGTCCATGTCATGAAGAGCAAATCACAAGCCACCTGCTACAATGCAGTCTGAGCTCTGCCACATGCACAAGGGAGGATCTTCTCACAGCGACACAGAGGCACTCCAAGTGGCCAACTTCTACTTAAAGGAAATCTAGTACAATGCCAAGTTTTTAACTTTGTTTGTGTACTTTTAAAAATACTTTGTAACTGTATCCTCATTTTGCTTCTGACACGATAAATAAATAAAATAAACTATACTAGAAGCATAGAATAGAATTGCACTGGAGGACCAAGAGAGACCTACAAATGCTTCCATCCATGGAGCTCTTTAGGTCCTGCAGTCCTATTCTATAGTATGCTTGGGCTAGAAGCATAGCAAAGAATAGCACTGGAGAGGATTTAGAGAGGTCTACAAACACTTTCGGAAAGAGAATTTATTTTGGAGTGTGGAACGTGAAGTCATTGATACTGTATTGTGTTTGGATAGATGCCATAAATTTATCTATTCATTCAATTTCATTTATAGGATGTGATACTTGATATTGTGAGGATTCTAAGTAGTTGTAGATCTAGAAATAGAATGAATGTGTGTGTGTATAGTTTGGTTCTAAAAGGCACCAAATAATAATAAAAAAAGAAATATGAGTTATAGGGGGCATCACATTGTTGGCTAAGAGTAGACTATTGTGTATAGATCAAAACGTATCAAATCACATTGGTATAGACCTCGAAAAATTGCATTTATAGAAAATGGACACATATCTTCAGCATATTTTTTTAAATTCCTGTAAAAAGTTTTAGATGGATTTTGTACTTTTTCTGAAAAAGAGAGTTCTACTCAATTCATGTAAACTAAAAAATTAATGTGGTATAACAGAGAGTCCATTAAGGCACAAATCCTAGGATTCTGTAGGATGGATCCTACAGAACAATAGTCTGAGAAGTATCATACAGCTTTAACAGCATGGTACAAATGTATTATGCACTGAAAATAATGTCTAGCCCTTCCCAACCTAGCAATGATTCTTTATGACTCGCTTAAAAAAAAAAACACAACCTTATTTCTGCCCATATGTGGTTGTCCATATGTAAAGGAGAGGAGCCTGTTACCCAATTCATTAGTGGGTCTACAAACCTCCCGATTTACATGTTTATTTATAGAGCTTATGGAAAAACAAGTGAAAATACCCTCCGTTCACACAGTTGTCTTGACTGAATAGTAAAAGAGGAAGGAGAAACTGCATGGGTGCCAGGGCTGTAATTATTTCCAAACAAAGTTGTTAAAAAGAACTCCAAGGCCTGTCGCTTCAGATGGCATATCTTGGATTTCTCCCCAAAAGGAACTTATTTGGTTTCTCGACAGCAAAATTGGTGTTCTTTCTAAACGGCTTTTGCCGAATCTCAGGGCACGCGTGGTACCATTTAGATCGCTGCAGCTCATTGTTTTCCTGGAATGCTATTAATTAGTACGCTTTTTAATACAGTAGGAGATGGCTTTTCTCTCTAATTGGTTTTCTCTTAATGTACCTTGAATGGGTTGCCTTTAAGTGTTGACAGCACTCCAGTCACCAAGTTTTGTATTACAGAATAAAGAAGGAGGGAGACTCTACAATTAGCATCCCCATGTTTTCTTTAGCTGGAGATCATGGCATTCATAGTCCCACATTTATTTCCCCCTGGACCTTGCTTTTGGTGCCAGTATTTGGAGGATTTCTGCAAGGCTCAAATGAAAAGGAAGTTCTGAGGCTACAAAGGATATCTGAAGGGGATCTCTGCCCCTCTATTTACTTCTCCGTTTATGGCGGGGTGAGAGTGGGCAACTCTCCAGATGTTGTTCAACTGCTTCTACCAGCACTTACCATAATGAGCAATTATGGAAACAATTGCCTCAGGGGACTTAGTTGGACCTGCAATTGGAATGCCACGTTATACCCTCCAATTTTTCACAGATGAAAACCAGGACACATGTAACCAAAAAGCTATAGAGTACAGTCAAGATGGCAAAAGTTATTAATGAGGAGGAACACACTTTCTTTAGGACAGAAATAGGTAAAGGTTTTCCCCTCACATTAAGTCAATTCGTGTCTGACTCTGGGGGTTGGTGCTCATCTCCATTTCTAAGCCAAAGAGCCGTTGTTGTCCATAGACACCTCCAAGGTCATGTGGCCAACATGACTGCAAGGAGCACTGTTACCTTCCAGCTGGAGTGGTACCTATTGATCTACTCACATTTGCATTTTTTTTTGAACTGCTAGGCTGTCAGAAGCTGAGGTTAATAGCGGGAGCTCATGCCGCTCCACAGATTCGAACCGCTGACCAGCAAGTTCAGCAGCTCAGCGGTTTAACCGACTGTGCCACTGGGGACTCCAATATCTAATAGGACTGAAATATCAACCCTATATTATTCTCCCAGGTGGAACACGAAGTTAGATTGACCCCTGAAACTGAGCAGGAAGGCAGTTAACAAACCATCACTTAGTTCAAAGTATCCAACAAGCCCCAGCACTGGTTTCAGTCCAACCTACTCAAAACACTTGATGTGATAGATAAAGTTTACTTCAAGCATCAGTGTTTTATAAAACTTCAGAATTATGCAGAGAAAGACAAAGTGCATATAAGCAATCTATATAAATGAAATTGTAATGTTTGTTTGTGGGATTAACATAACTCAAAAACCACTGGAAGAATTAACACCGAATTTGGACACAATACACCTACTAACCCAAGGAGTGACCATCACTCATAAAAACACTGAAAAACACAGTAGAGGAGACTTAAAAAGCCAAAATAAATAAATAATACATTACAACGCATGCACAAAACACACACACATATACACATATACACAAATATATATATGCACACATATACACACACACACATATATATACACACAAAACACATATACACAGACTGGGCCACAGCAACGTGTAGCAGGAGATGGCTAGTGTTTTCAACCATCCAGCTTGTGTGAACCTGAGCATTCTTTAAATAAATATTTTTCTGTTCAGTTCAAGTACCAGGACTTGTGTCTAATTATTAAAGAGAAGAATCTCCACAAAGGAGAAGTCTGAAGATCCTGTGGAGCTGAATACAGTTGTGTGGTATTGAGTTACACATATTAAAGAGGCACAAACAGGTGTTTTAAAAGTCAAACCTCTCTTACACAATTCTCAGCCAAGCCTCTAACCAAGTTTCTCTCATAATAATCTCAAGTCTCTCTCAAGAAAGATCTATATAAATAAAAATGTAGTGTTTGTTTGTGGGATTAACATAACTCAAAAACCACTGGATCAATTGACACAAAATTTGAACACAAGACACCTAACAGTCCAATGAGTGTCCATCACCCCTAAAAATAACACTCTCACACACACACACAAAACCGCACCAGAACAGACTTAAAAACCCAAAAAATACACCATATATACATATACACATACACTCAAATACATATACACAAGCATACATTCATACACACACACAAATATACACATATACACACATTCATATACATATACACATGCACACACATATATACACACACATATACATATACACACATACATATATACATATACACATGCACATACATATACACATACATACACACATATACATACAAATATGCATATAGACAAGCACACACATATAAAAATATGCATGTACTCATATAAATGCACACATACACAAATATATACACACATATACACGCCCACATATATATATGCAAACACACATATATACACAAATATATATACACACAGAAACACATATATACACACTCAAACACATATACACAGACTGGGCCACAGCAACGCATGGCAGGGGATGGCTAGTATAACATAAAAGTACTCAGCCACACCACACTACACATTAATCTGGGGGTGTTCACCTCAGTGACCATACAGCCTGAAAAACTTACAGCAACCCAGTGATTCCGCCCATGAAAGCCTTTGACAACACGCTTAATGTATTGTTTTAACAAGGCTTTTAATAAGCAACCTTGAAAGTATTGCTATTGTACAGCATATAAATATGTTCAATAAATAAAATTTAAGTTTGCAATAAAGTACTGGCTGGTAAAGGACCTTTTAACTCAGGAAAAATAGAGTTAAGTGTGTTCTCCCTAATTAATAACTTTTGCCATTTTGATTGCACTGTGGAATCATAGCCATGGCCAAGGTTTCATCTGCATCAGCTTTTGTCTCTGAGTACATTTCTGCATCGAGGATCAGACCCGGAAAGAGTGAAGTTACTTAATAATCTACTCTTCATATGAAGCCAGCAATCAATCTAGTGCTTTATGTAGTTTTTAATGTAGGTCCCTTTCTTGAGGACATTACAGTCAAATGTTCAGCCCAGGAAAAATAGAGAGAAGAATGGGGATGGTGCTAAAACAGAGGAAGATAGAGGTGACTGAGAGTGTTGTGCTGGAGGTCTTACAAAAATGGTTGGCTTTGAAAGAAGGAATAATAGAAGAATATGACTCTGAGTGCATGCCGTATAATTCTGTCATTCCTGTGCTAACTTTCCCTCTGCACTTTGCACATTAGTTGCCTGTAATTTAGGAGGCACATCTACTAAAAAGTCAATTTGTGATGTGCTCTGCATTATGAAAGAACTAGTGTTGGTTCCCCCCCCCCCCCCACCCTCAAAATATCCTTGAATTCCCCTACCCTCCAATCCTTCTTCTTTTTAGAGCTTTTTAAAAAAGCCTCTGCCAAAGCTGAGGGTCGCATGTGGCACATGACTGCTGGACTTGCTAAACTGTCTTTCAGCCATTCAGAGGTTTCAAAAAATTGCTGCAAATGTTAAGTACTTTAGTGTACTTCCAATTACGTTGAGCTCTAAGTTAAATCTGCTGTTACCTATTGTTGAGTACTTTTGTGCCACTTGAACTATAGCTTGCTAAGCCTGGTCTTTAACAATTATTTTAAGTGCTTTCTAATGGATTGGAATATAAAAGCACATGCATTGTGCGGCTCCCTTCCCTTTTTTATTTTTTATTTTTTTGTTTAGAAGCTAAGTCCTTGCACTGGAGTTTCTGAACTCCTTTCATACAGATAGCTGTTTTGTAACCACCTACCATTAATTTTTAAAATGGATTTTAAAAAACTCCTAAAATGATCCATCTAGTTTTGAGTATATCACAAGTAAGGAACAAAGGGTGAATGTCCTGATCGGTGCCGCTCTGAATGTCGCTTCCTCTCCAAGTGTGGGTTTGGAACCTGAAATATATTCATCCCAGGTAGGCAATCTTGTTGCAGTCCAGATATTTTTGACTAGAGAGCCCATCATCCATTACCACATGGAAGCTGGAACTGGTGAAGTCTATAGTCTAAAATAGCTGGAGGGTAAATATTGAGCATGGGCCTCCTGGTGGCACAGCGGGTTAAACCACTGAGCTGGTGAACTTGCTGACTAAAAGACATTTCCGTATATAATAATAATAATAATAATAATAATTTATTTGTACCCCGCTACCATCTCCCCAAGGGACTCGGTGCGGCTTACATGAGGCCAAGCCCGAATACAACAATACAAGCAAAACAACAACAGTACAAGCAATTAAATAAAACATAGACAATAAAATATGCAACATTATCAATAAGACAACACGCAACCCACACGATGTCTTCGTTCATCTGGTGAGGCCCTGCTCACGATCCCACCGGCATCGCAAGCGCGACTGGTGGGGACGAGGGACAGGGCCTTCTCGGTGGTGGCCCCACGACTCTGAAACTCCCTCCCCAAGGACATCAGACACTCCCCAACATTGGCAGTCTTCAGAAGGAGCTTGAAAACATGGATGTTCCAATGTGCCTTCCCAGATTAAGGAATCCCAAGCAATTGTCCTTAATGCACTTTATGAGAGAGTTAGAATTGTCTGCACACCCTTCTATTCCCAAAATATCCATCCTACCTCACCTGGACATGCCAAGCATTTTTAGAATTTTTACCATTACATTTGGCCCTGCCACAGGTTTTTTAACAGTGTCGTGTTTTTGTTATTGTTCTATTTCTTTGTTATGAGTTTATTTATTGTTGCATTGTATTGTTGTTGTTGTGTTTTTGTTAATGATGTACTTTGGGCTCGGCCTCTTCTAAGCCGCACCGAGTCCTGCGGGAGATGGTGGTGTACAAATAAAAGTTTATTATTATTATTATTATTATTATTATTATTATTATTGGCAGTTCGAATCCAGGAAGTGGGGTGAGCTCCCACTGTTAGCCCCAGCTTCTGTCAACCTAGCAGTTCAAAAACATGCAAATGTGAGTAGATGTAGGAAGGTAATTGCATTCCATGCTGTCATGCTAACCACACGGCCTTGGAGATGTCTACGGACAACACCAGGTCTTCAGCTTAGAAATGAAGATGAGCACCACCCCACAGACTCGGACTCAACTAGACTTAATGTCAAGGGAAATCTTTACCTTTACTTTTAAATATTGAGCATCCCTTACCAGAATTTGAAATTGTCCAAATTTGTCCACTTAAGAAAGTGACACCTTTGCTTTTTGATGTTCAATGTACACAATCTTGGCTTCATCCAAAAAATTATCAAAAATATTCTCTAAAATTATTTTCTGGTTATGTGTATAAGAATGCCATTATGTACATTTGTGCAAATACAGATCCACCTTGAGTCACCGATAGGCTGAGAAAAGCGGTATACAAATACAGTAAATAAATAAATAAATAAACTCTAAAAAACCCTGAAGTTTGAAGTTGGCCCCAAGCTTTTCAGATAAAGGATATTCAACCTGTACCCAGATTTGTGCTGCAGATTTCTTTTACAGTTGTTCAATGGAAGAGTGTTTCTGTCCTGTTCTCATTCTCCTATCGCATATGACCCTGAAAAGCCTTTGTAGAGGTATGATCCCAATGTAGGATGTGTAGAAATAGTATAGTATTGGAGAACTAGGAGGAAACAAGGCAGGTAACGTTCCATGGAAAAGTTACTTTTTGAGTGTTGTCTGTCAGAATCCTCCACACAGCATGGGGCTTGTCTAAAAAAAGCAAGATAGCTGATTTCTAAGTATAAGACATGACTTGTTGCATTTTGGTTCTCTGGTACTATATTTGTATTATAGTGATGTATGACTATAATAGACCTGTTATTGCATTTGACTACTCCACTAATACTAGTTTCCACAGGGAGAAAAACCTCAGATTTACTATCTGCATTTTGTTCAGTCATGTTGGGTTCAGAAACACATTTAGAGGTTAAGCTAGAAATAGAATATTATGTTGGATCTGAGGTATATTTTGAACTAATCATCCACTTTTGTCTTTCTGGTCTTCTAGGGCTCTTTGAAGAAATACGCCAGTTCCGTCAGGCCTGCGGAGAAGCTCACATGAAAACCATCTTGGGGACGGGGGAGTTAGGATCACTCACCAACGTCTACAAAGCCAGTCTTGTTGCCATGATGGCAGGTGATTCCCATTTACATATATATCGTAGCAGTAGGACATTTGATGGGAATGTGCAGAGTGCTCTAATTCAGTCTGCCTTCTAGTCAGCTTGCTCTCCCTTTCTGGAAGACACTCCATTGGAGGCAACCAATCCTGACTTGGGATCATGTGATGGTGGAACACTTTTAGTCCAAATGTAGGATTAATAACAAAAAACTATTCATGGTTGCCTCTTTGCGTCTCTTCCATCAGCATGAAACTTTTTCTGTTCTTCCAGGTTTTTAGGAATTGATTGGTAGATATTTAATAGTAAGCAGTAGCAACATGAAGTAAAGAACCAGGACATGGCAGGGTGAGAAATAAAGGAGGCAGGAGGACCCGTAAGAATCCTTTCCTCATCCTTGCCAGTAAAATATAATAACAATAAATGTAAAAATGGAGCCCCTGGTGGCACAATGGGTTAAGCCGCTGAGCTGCTTAACTTGTTGACCAAAAGGTCGCAGGTTCGAATCTGGGGAGCGGCATGAGGTTCCGCTGTCAGCCCCAGCTTCTGCCAACCTAGCAGTTCGAAAACATGCAAATGTGAGTAGATCAGGTATCACTCTGGCAGGAAGGTAACAGTGCCCCATGCAGTCATAGCCGGCCACATGACCCTGGAGGTGTCTACGGACAATGCCTGCTCTTCGGCTTAGAAATAGAGATAAGCACCAACCCTCAGAGTCAGACACAACTAGAAAACCTTTAAAGGTAAAGGTAAAGGTAGTCCCCTGACATTAAGTCCAGTCATGTCTGACTCTGGGATGTGGTGCTCATCTCCATTTCTAAGCCGAAGAGCCAGCGTTGTCCGTAGACACCTCCAAGGTCATGTGGCCAGCATGACTGCATGGAGCACCGTTACCTTCCTGCCACCTTCCACCTTTACCTTTACCTAAATGTAAACAAACTCATGGCATTTATTATCTCCTATTTAATGCAGCTATGACACACAATTCTGTCTTGATATCTTCAGAAGCTTCAGGTGGTGCAGCGGATTAAACTGCTGTGCTGCTGAACTTGCTGACTGAAAGGTCGGTGGTTCGAATCCGAGGAGTGGGGTGAGCTTCTGCTGTTAGCCCTAGCTCATGCCATCATAGCATTTTGAAAACATGCAAATGTGAGTAGATTAATAGGTACCGCTTGTGCAGGAAGGTAACGGTGCTCCATGCAGTCATGCTGGCCACATGACCTTGAGGGTGTCTATGGACAATGCTGGTTCTTCAGCTTAGAAATGGAGATGAGCACCACCGCCCCCAGAGTCAGACACAACTAGACTTAATGTCAAGCGGAAACCTTTACCTTTTATCTTCAGGCAGGTACCAGGCCTAAATAATATGTGTAGTTGAGATGCTGTGACCTGTGCTAAGTCAACAGTGTGATGTGGCAGCTAAAAACTCAAATGCAATTCTGGGCTGCGTCAATAAGAGTAAAGTATCTAGATCAAGGGAAGTAATAGTCACCATCTATTCTGATTTGGCCAGACCTCTCCAGACATACTGTGTCCACTTCTGAGCATAACAATTCCAGAAGTACATTGACAAACTGGAACATGTTTAAAGAACAGTGACCAAAATAGTAGATGATCTGGAAACCGTGCTGTATGAGGAGCAGGTTAGGGAGCTGGGGAAGAGATTTAAAGGTGGTATGATACTCCTTGTTTAACTTTTTGAAATGATATCATATTAAAGATTGATCAGACTTGTTTTCTGCTGTCCTAGAGACTAGGACATGGAGCAATGGATTCAAATGGTAGAAAAAGAGATTCCACCTAAACATTAGGAAGAACATCTTAAAGGCCAGATATGTTTGACTGTGGAATATGCTGCTTCAGAGTGTGGCGGATTCGCTATCTCTGGAAGTTTTAAAGTAGAGGCTGGATGGCCATTTTTCAGGAGTTCTTTGGTTGTGTGGTTGTGTTGTAGAATGGGGTTAGACTAGATGGCCCTTGTGGTCTCTCCCAGCAGGGAGACTATGAAGGAATCCCAGATGACAGGAAATAGCCTCTTGGGTATTCCTTGCCTAAGAAAGCCCTGTGGAATTCATGGTGCCACCATAGCTTGAGTGGCAACTTGAAGACACATACATACATAAAGTTCAACTTCATAATCTCTTATTTACCAGAAGATGGGTTGGTTGGGAGAGTCTGGGTGGATGATGGAAGCTGCAATATCAGCCCCACATGCGTTACCCTTTGCTACATTTCAATCTCTTCGGTGGTTGTTAAAATTTTCAAAAACCTATATTAAAGTTTTATTTTTTAAATGTTCTCTCACTTGTAGTATTCCTGGTGCAGTGTTACTGTCCATACAGCAGGTGGCTCTGCTGTTAACACTATTTCTTCTCTCTTTTGCATTGTTAAGCTTGCTGCTTTCCATGCCATTTCTCGCTTTTCAGTACATACAATAATATCCCTTGATTGAAGGCTAGTTTGTTTGAATAATACAGAGCACAACAGCTGAACATGGCAGGATGGGCTTTGAAAGCATGGCATCTCTCGTCAGATTGTACAGGTTCAATGTTTCTTTGGTGGGGGAAAATGCAGACACCAAGGCTAATTGTGTGTCTGTGACAGTGGATAAGGTGTTATCAGGTATGCACAGTTTGAAGGAGAACCAGCCATGGCTTAATGCTGTGGAATCGTGAGAGTTGTGGTTTTACAACGTCTTTAGCATTCTGCTGAAGAGCCCTGGTGTCTCGCCAAACTACAAATTCCACGATTCCAAAAGATTGAACCATGGCAGTTAAAGTAGTGCTAAACTACATTAATTCTGCAATATAGATGCATCTCCGGGGCTTGATTCTTTCAAACTCTTGAGGAAGGCAATGCCAAAAAACAAAAGAGGTCTTGCCAAAAAACAAAAGTGATCAGTTCACCTTAGACTGAGTAACCATAAGTCAGAAAACCTGAAGGCATATAAAATTACAACAGTGTGCAAATTTAATACATCACCTAGAAGGCCAATAATGAGGGGACTGAACGTACCTCTTTGGGGAAGGAGTTCTAGAGCCTTGGAGTCACCACACCACCGAGAAGGCCCTCTCTCTTGTTCCCACCAACCGTACTTGTGAAAGTGGTGGGACTGAGAGGAGGGTCTCTCCTGATGATCTCAGGGTTTGTGTGGCTGATAGGAGGAGATGCAGTCCCTCAATTATTTGTTTATCTAAATAACTAACTAAATAAATAAATATTTTGACAACTGGGAAATAGAGGGAGAAAACGTGGAGGCAGTGACAGACTTTGTATTTCTAGGTGCAAAGATTACTGCAGATGCAGACTGCAGCCAGGAAATCAGGAGATGCTTCCTTCTTGGGAGGAGAGCAATGACCAATCTTGATGAAATAGTGAAGAGTAGAGACATCACACTGGCAACAAATATCCACATAGTTAAAGCAATGTTATTCCCCGTAGTCACCTATGGATGTGAGAGCTGGACCATAGGGAAGGCTGAGCGAAGGAAGATAGGCACTTTTGAACTGTGGTGCTGGAGGAAAGTTCTGAGAGTGCCTTGGACCACAAGAAGATCCATCCAGTCCATTCTTCAGGAAATAAAGCCCAACCGCTCATTGGAGGGAAGAATAGTAGAGGCCAAGATGAAGTACTTTGGCCACATCATGAGAAGAAAGGAAAGCTTAGAGAACAGTATGATGCTAGGGAAAATGGAAGGAAAAAGGAAGAGAGGCAAGATGGATGGTATCCTTGAAGTGACTGGATTGACCTTGAAGGAGCTGGGGGTGGTGACGACCGACAGGGAGCTCTGGCGTGGACTGGTCCATGAAGTCACGAAGAGTCGTAAACGACTGAACGAATGAACAACATTTATTTAGATTATTTACTTATTTATTTAAATTATTTACGTATTTATGTGTATCCCACTTTTCTCCTGATACAGAGACAAGGTAGCTAACAATAAATATAGACCCTCCACTTTCTTATGGATAATGGCACAGAACCTCTGCAAAAAAAGAGGAAAAAACAAGAAACCTGCCTATTTTTTACTTTTTTACTTGCGAGAACACCTCTCCTTAGGAATTTCTAGGTTCACCTGAGCAGTTTAATGGTCAGCTTCCACCAGATGTTGGCCATCGCATCACACTGAGGAACCTAGACTCTAGGTCCTAGAATCCTACAGAGAACATATTAATGAAATCTGTGAGCAATCAAATCTACAAAAATTAAGTCCACAGATATTGAGGATCAACTGTAGTAGATTGTTTGAGTTTTGTTCATATTTTTTAAATTGGCTGGAACAATGCAAGAAGGACTGATCTAGTCAATGGCATGGGAGAAGTCTAGGGTCACTGGTAGGAGATACCATTTTGTAGAGCCTGAGGTGCTAACTCTCTTGTATATATGTTAATTTGCTGGTGAATAATTTAAAGGGGTCTGTTTATTTTTTTATAATAGAGAAAGATATAAATTGTCTCTGCGGGGGTAATTTTACTTACAGCTGCCACTGAACAGATGCTTGGAGTTTTTAAATTGATATTTTAGTCTACACTAAGTTATGGGAGTGGAGAACAAACTTTTTTTTTTCTAAATTCCACTCCCCCTAATTCTTTTAAAATCGATTTCCTGACGATATTCACACTACATCTCTTTCTTTCTGTCTATATGCAGGCATAGACACATATGCATATATGAGTTTTCCTTATAAATATTTAATTTAGCTTGCACTTGTCTTCTTTTTTTTGCTGTGTATTTTTTTGGGCTAGGATTGCATTTTAATGATGGTGATGATGGACTATTTTAATATAAAGCTATGAAATCAGTTTCATTTATTCTTTGGAAACAGACTTACCCAAGAAGGAGTCACTTGGATGTTTGGGGTTGGAGAAAGGTACAAATTAGAGCTATGTTGCAATGTAGTAAAAGTTTTAAATGGGGTCTTCCTTGATTAAAAAACTACAATTCCTGGAAGAACATGGAAAAATGCCGAAGATCTCTCGTGGTATTTTAGTTTCCAAAAGGAGTGATCATGCTAGTT